GTTCCGGAGGACTTCATCTCTCGGGAGCTGTTCGACACCATCCAGGTGTACGTCATCACGAAGCCCGAGCTGCAGAACAAGCTGATCACCGTGTGAGTGCTGCGGGGATGTGCCGTGCCAGCTCCGGCGCACCGCGATTTCTGTCCCGGGGTCCCCACGTTCATCTTAGCGCCCGCGGTTACCCGTGCGGGAGGCTTTGGGTCAGGCTGGTGCTGCGTGTGGGTCTCTGTCAGCACCAGCTCCAGGGAAGGCAAACGAGTCTTGAGAGCAGTGCTGGTGTTAAAAGGAGATTTCTTCTCTGGTGGTGGACTCTCTTAACCCCTTTCTTCATCGTGTGTGTTTTGCACTCTGACCATTTGAGGATTAGACATCATTTTAAATGCAAAGCGGAGAAGCCCCCACTTCCAGAACTATCCTTGTGTGGGGCTCAGGCCACCCTGAGGGCATAGGTGCAGATTATACTTGTCCTGCAGGACGGCCATGGAGAAGAAGCTGATCGGCTGCCCCGTGTGTATTGAGCACAAGAAGTACAGCCGAAACGCTCTGCTCTTCAACCTGGGCTTCGTGTGCGATGCCAGAGCCAAGGCCTGTGCACTGGAGCCCATAGTGAAGAAGCTGGCTGGCTACCTGACCACCCTGGAGGTGAGCCCCGAGCCAGTGCGAGCAGAGGCTGGCTGCCTCACAGTCCAACCCACAGAGACACCAGTGTCCTGGTGCATGTTGTGGGTCACTGGGCGTTGCGGGGGCAGGGACCAGGTTTATGGCTAGGAGGTGATCATGCTGGTTTTACCCACACATCACTTAAAGGAAGGACAGGAACCGCAATGTGCGGTTCCTATCCTGTGGGGCAGAGCTGATTTGATTTTCTGCTCTCTTTAGCTGGAAAGTGGCTTCATCTCCAACGAGGAGAGTAAGCAGAAGCTGGTTCCCATCATGACCATCCTGCTGGAGGAGCTGAATGCCAAAGGAAAGTGCACCCTGCCCATAGGTATGGAAGCCCTGCTGGCCCAGCAGTACGGGCAGAAGTGGGGCAGGGTGGTACTGGGAGGCAGCTGGGCCTTTCCCTCTCCCTCTCCTGGGGCTGATGGTTGCAAGCTCCCGAGGGAGCAGAGGTTTCTGTGGGGACTGAGTGTTCCCCTTTCCCCGGCCAGATGAGTCGAACACTATCCACCTGAAGGTGATTGAGCAGCGCCCGGACCCCCCCATTGTGCAGGAGTACGATGTCCCCGTCTTCACCCAAGACAAGGACGACTTCTTCAACTCCCAGTGGGATCTCACCACGCAGCAGGTCTGTGTGCTTGACGAGGGGCAGCATGTTTTGAATGTTTCCAGCCTGCCAAGGGGCGGAGGGGTGTCAGGCTTTCCTGCAGATCACCACATTAATAAGCATGGTTTGGTGCTCCCCTTGTCCTTGTGCTTTGAGCAAGCAATTTGCCCAAGAAGGATAAAATGCTGCTGGGGATGGAGCCAGCCTGTCCGAGTGCACCTCCAGACGCAGGGGAGTTTCTTGGGCTTCAGTGCGATGCCTTGGGCCTCTGCTCTCTCTCCTCTTAGCTCTCGCTTCCTTCCTTCCTAGATCCTGCCTTACATTGATGGCTTTCGGCATGTCCAAAAGATTTCTGCAGAAGCCGACGTGGAGCTGAACTTGGTGCGCATTGCAGTGCAAAACCTGCTGTGAGTGCGTGGAAGGGCAGGGGAGGGGTCGTGGGTGCTGGCAGACAGGCTCTCACGCTTCCCTGTCTGTCTGCAGGTATTACGGGGTCGTCACACTCGTCTCCATACTCCAGGTGGGTCAGGCCATGGAGTGTG